TCATGTGTAGTCGGGTAAAGTGTGGGTACTCTTACATTTCCAAGTCATCTGGCGAGCGTTGAAGAATAGGCCAAATATCCTCTAGAACTGCCTTTGCCACCAGTAGTGGCATGAACAAGCAATTGATAGGCTGCACCATTACCTACGTTCACGAATGCTTTATGCTGTAACGTGTATCATATACTGCATTTTTGCCGTGCTGTAATAATCCATCGTAAAATCATCAAGTTTGTGACCTGTCTGTCAAACGTTTGGGCTCTCCCATCGTATGTGGGCTTTTTACAGACACTCCGGGTTATCTTCAACTCACATAAAAAAAGATATCTGAAATGGCAAAAGCCTTAACCCGGCCCAAGCAAGACCGCCTTGACAAAAAAGACTATGGACTCAATGATGATTTGTTCGGAAAACAAAACATTCTTACGATGCAATCATTTTTTCATGAGATTTTATGCTAGGTTTAATTGATGCAGTAAAATATGACAGCTTGGCACACGCGGTCCAATAGACTGCAATGTGTACATGGTGTACCATGGCCTACCAAGAGGGGGAGCTATGGTGGCAGATGTCTGGGGCAGAGTGACCTCGACTCAATTGCGATGTTGGTTTGCAAAAAAGAAAATAAATAACTGAATAAGTTAGGGAATGTTCCCGACTACCAATGAGCAAATGAATAAGACTCTTCGTCTCGTTTGGCAAGACATTAAATACTATTCGTGCCTGCTAAGTGTGCATATCAGTAAATTGTACCTTTTATGAGTAAATGATCATGCCTACTGATGTTACCAATGCTGCTAGGAGTGAATTATTGAATGAATGCACGAACTTGCATGCCCAGCCAATGAATGCCATCAATCAGTGAGTAAACGAATGTCCATCCCACAGATGACCCGATCCTGGACTGCTTAAATAACCTTGTACATGGCACGTCCTTCTAAACCAGTGGTTCTTCTCCTGGGGTGCACGCACCCCCTGGGGGTGCGAGATGCCCTTTCTGGGGGTGCGAGACATGATCAGATTTTTTTAAAGGTAAATGATCGAAACACAAATTAAGCACGGGCACGTAAGTACTACTTTGTTTAATCAAACCTCTGTGTATTTATTAACATTATTTATATTTTTACGATTGAGAACCAAAGGGGTGCAAGGCTGCAGTAAAGATGAAGAACCGCTGTTTTAATAAACCAAGCCGCCGACACGTAAATACCGTCAGAGGTCTACAGGAGGCAACTTTTGTAGGCACTGAGAAGCCTATACCCTGATAATTAAGCCTATTATATAATGACGTCAACCACCCACACATTACCATACAGGTGGATGGGCAGGGAGTGAGAGTATTGGAAGGGAAGGGAGATACAGCTTGATGGTTATGTGGGACGATGTGTGCGATGGTGCTTATGAATTACGATGACTGTCACTTATGGTGACGGGTTCATAATGTGCCTGGTAGTGAATGTGAGTAATGAGTATTTGGTGTTATTGTGCTAATGATGATGAGAGAGGATGGTGATGATGAGATGATGTGTGTAATGGAATTAAAGACTGGTGATGGGGTTTATTATATGTGAGATGATATTGGTATTAATTTAGTGTGATGGTGCGAATTGGTGTGGTGAGTGGTGAAGATTACTCATTGGTTCTTTCGGTAAAGTCACGTATGTAGAAATACAATAAAATTATATTAAAACAAAACAATCACGACGTTTCGATCACAACGCAAGCGATCTTCATCAGGTGTCAAGAACAAATCATGGAGGTGAATACAACAAGGAGATGAGAGACGAGAATTCAACAAACCTGAGAAACATTATGTGAAGCAGGTGTCGGCCAACAACACAGTTAGACACTTCCTGGCGGACCACGAATTTCAGAAGAGTGTTAAATTTCGTGTTCAACTTCTGGATTGCACTTACCAGCATAGAGTGAACAAATACGAGGCACAAAGTCAGCAGAAATACATATACAGGCCCACCAAGAGGCAAGGAAGGAGGAAAGACGGACATAGAAGCAAGGAGAGAGAGAGAGGGGGCTGGAGGGATGCACCGAAGCCTTAAATAGGAAATAAAGTTGGGGAGAGGGGGCCGTAGAGAGAGGGTGTGGTAGAAGAACTGCTGCTGCTGCAATGAGCACATCATGCACATCAACAGAAGCGGGGGGGGGGGAGCAAGCTTGGGGTACACATTTAGGACGGAATTGCAAAGGTAACTTCCCCGTAGAAGTGTGTTAATAAAGAATTAAAGCTTTCGTGACTGCATAAAATTACTCATTGGTTCTTTCGGTAAAGTCACGTATGTATAAATACAATAAAATTATATTAAAACAAAACAATCACGACGTTTCGATCACAACGCAAGCGATCTTCATCAGGTGTCAAGAACAAATCATGGAGGTAAATACAACAAGGAGATGAGAGACGAGAATTCAACAAACCTGAGAAACATTATGTGAAGCACAACCTATCCGGCCAACAACACAGTTAGACACTTCCTGGCGGACCACGAATTTCAGAAGTGTTAAATTTCGTAGCAGACTTTGTACCTCGTATTTGTTCACTCTATGCTGGTAAGTGCAATCCAGAAGTTTAACACGAAATTTAACACTCTTCTGAAATTCGTGATCCGCCAGGAAGTGTCTAACTGTGTTGTTGGCCTGACTGGATGTGCTTAACATGTTTCTCAGGTTTGTTGAATTCTCGTCTCTCATCTCCTTGTTGTATTTACCTCCATGATTTGTTCTTGACACCTGATGAAGATCGCTTGTGTTGTGATCGAAACGTCGTGATTGTTTTGTTTTAATATAATTTTATTGTATTTCTACATACGTGACTTTACCGAAAGAACCAATGAGTAATTTTATGCAGTCACGAAAGCTTTAATTCTTTATTATTGAGTGGTGAAGATGTTCATAATGGGTGGGATGCGTGGCGATTTGTGGTTACAGTGTTAACGAGTGTCATCAGTTGCGACGTCACTGAAGGGAGTGATGGGTAGTGGTGATTACGTTGAGTGATAATTGTGTTGTTGTGTTTAATGGATGGTGATGGGATAACGCGGGTTGAGTGGTGATGTGGTATAAGGATGGCGCTGCTAATTCGTGGAGATGCGGTGATGGGTGGTGACGATATTGAATTGATAGGTCTGATGTGTGTGATGCTTATGCGTGTTAGATGAATAATGGATGCTGATGGTAGTGATGCAGCGATAGGTGGTGATTGATAGCATTAATGCGTGTGATGTTTCTATGGTGATTTAGTGATAGATGCTGATGTAGTAATCGGTGGTGTTAATGGTTATTTGCGACGTTGATGAGTGTGATCAGTGAGTTTATTTTAATAAGTGGGATGAGTGATTCGATTATGGTTGATGTGGATGCTATGGTGGCGATGGCATGGGTTAAATGGGTGTGATGCAATAATGGATTCTAATCGTGTGTGCGAGATAATGATAGGATTTTAGATAGTAATGTGGTGATGAGCTGATCGGTGGTTATGTGGTTGTGTGCTTATGTGATATAATGTCTGTTCATGTAATACGTTAATATATTGTTTATTGTTGGAGGCGAGTGTTGATGTAGTTATGTATGATGACATGTCCACAGGTGTTGATGCGGTTGATGGGTGATGATGTGGGGGTCAATGGTGATATTTTCATGGTGTAATTAGTGGTACAGTAAAGTCAAATGGTGCTGATGGGTGTTATGATGGGTGATGTTGATGGGTGTTATGATGGTTGATAATAATGGGCATGATGGGCGACATTGATGCGTGTGATAGGTGATGATGGGTAAGATTTGATGAATAATTAGATTGTGATGTCGGGAAATTTTGTTGATATCCGGTGATGTTGCTATTGTTGGTCACGCTGTTGAGCATGATGTTGATTGATATGATGGTTGCTTATAGCTCGTGATGTAGTGGATGGGCATGTAGCTGATGTTTCGTGTAGTTTCTGATGTCTAGTAATATAGTGATGTCGCTGATGTCTAGTGATGTTATGGTTTGTAGTGCAGTGATGGCTGGTAATGTAGTGATGTTCCTAGTATAGTAATGCAGTTATAAGCATTGATGTTCATTGCATCTCGTAATGCGCAGTGACATTCCTAGTGTATGGTGATGTAGTGATGTTACTGGAATCTTGTGTAGCCAGAAGCAGGATCTTTATTCATCCTGGTGAAATCCGATGAGGAATTAAGCTCTTTTTACACACATGTCCAGCAGCGACGATGGCTCATGATGTTGCTACTTGGTAATTGTATTTGCTGTAAGGGGGCGATATCCACCAACGCGTGTGGGGACGCCCTAATGCGGGGGACGCGCCGGAGCGATGTGCAGTGGTGTGGTGATGGGAGATGGATGGCGGGTGGATGTGGTGAGGAGGTGTGGATGCTGGGTGGATGGGGGGGCAGTGTGAATGGTGGGTGGATGGGGGGACAGTGTGGATGGTGGATGGATGGGGGGTGTGGATGGTGGGTGGATGGGGGGAGGAGGTGTGGTTTGTGAGTGGATGGGGGGGCAGTGTGAATGGTGGGTGGATCGGGGGAGGAGGTGTGGATGGTGGGTGGATGGGGGGAGGAGGTGTGGTTTGTGAGTGGATGGGGGGGCAGTGTGAATGGTGAGTGGATGTGGGGAGGTGTGGATGATGGGTGGATGGGGGGGCAGTGTGAATGGTGGGTGGATGTGGGGAGGTGTGGTTGGTGAGTGGATGGGGGGGGGCAGTGTGGATGGTGGGTGGATGTGGGGCGGTGTGGATGGTGGGTGGATGGGGGGGCAGTGTGAATGGTGGGTGGATCGGGGGAGGAGGTGTGGTTGGTGAGTGGATCGGGGGAGGAGGTGTGGATGGTGGGTGGATGGGGGGGCAGTGTGGATGGTGGGTGGATGGGGGAGCAGTGTGGATGGTGGGTGGATGGGGGCTGTGGAGGGTTGCTGGATGGGGGGGGGGTGGAGGGGGGTGGGTGGAGGGGGGGGGGCAGTGTGGGGGATACCGAGCGGGCTGCCTCTTCCGGAGCCCCTAACGGAAGAGGAGGCGCCGGTGTCGGTGTGGAGTTAAAATGGCCGCAAAGTCGGATGGAGTTGGGTACGGCGGCGGCGGTGATGTTGGTTGTGGTGGCGGCGGCTGCGGCGGTCTTGTCGGTAGATCGGGCAGCGGCGGCGGCGGCGGCGGCGGCGGCGTCATTGTCGTGGGAGGACGAGGGGGATCAGGAGGCATTGGGGGAGGCGGCGGCAGCAGCAGCAACAAAGGCGGCGGCGGCGGCGGTGGTCGGGCTGGCTTCTCGCAGCCTCACAACCCCAACTCTGGCGCTGTCCGTGGTGCTGGATCAGCTGCTGCTGCTGCTGGAGGTGGCGGCAGCGCCACGGACTCCCAGCACCACCAGGGCAGCAGCGCCTTCCACATGTGCCACTGCTGCGACTCGCTCTCCTGTTACTGCGGCTGCGAGAGCGAATGCCTGCGCTCGTTGCTCAGGCGCCGGCTCGGCCTTCGCCGTGGCCGCCGCCGTGCTGCTGCCGCTGCCGCCGGCGGCGGCGGCGATGGAGCTGCCGACTTTGACCCCGACGCCGCCGGCGACGTCGAGGACGACACCTGCTCGACCGCCGAGGATTTCGCTTGGGTGGTGACGGCCGTGCTGGTGCTCTTGTCGGATGTTGGCACCGACCTGTGGCTGGCCGCCGATTATTATGCCCGCCGGGACGTGTGGTGGTTCGGACTCACTCTCTTCTTGGTGCTAGCCCCGTCGCTCGCCGTGCAGGTGGTCAGCTTCAGGTGGTTCGTGCTGGACTATGCGGCGGCGGGACTCTCCGTGGGGCTCGGCACGACCAGGTCGAGGAGGCCAAGCCATCTGGTGTGCCGAGTGTGCCTCTGGGCCTGGCAGAGTGTGCTGCACATACTGCAGCTCGGACAAGTGTGGAGGTAATGGTAACGCACACACCCACTCATCCATCAACTCATCAATCCAACCAGACACCCACCTATTAATTCATCCACTCACTCACTCACCTATTCATCCACTCACTCACCCACTCACTTACCAACCCACCGACTCACTCACCAACCAACCCACTCGCCAACCAACTCACTCGCCAACCAACCCACTCACCAACCAACCCACTCACCCACTCACCAACCAACCCACTCACCCACTCACCAACCAACCCACTCACCCATCCACTCACCTATTCACCCACTCACCTATTCACCCACTCACTTACCAACCCACTTACCAACCCACCCACTCACTCACCAACCAACCCACTCACCAACCAACCCACTCACCAACCAACCTACTCACCAACCAACCTACTCACCAACCAACCCACTCACCAACCAACCCACTCACCAACCAACCCACTCACCAACCAACCCACTCACATACCCACCCACTCACCCAAACACTCACCAACCCAGCCAGCCACCCACTCACACACCCGCCCACTCACACACCCGCCCACCCACACGTCCACCCACCCACACGTCCACCCACCAACCTCCCACCAACCACCCACCAACCCACACACGCACTCACTAACCCGTGCACCTATGCACGTGTTTAATTTAACTTTACTGGGAATTCTGGTGTTTTGTGATGGAATGGAATAAGGGTCCCCACTGTGTCCCTCAGTGAAACATGGGTGATGATGGGAGATGGCCTCCTGGAGTTTATTGTGGCTGATGGGGACCCCCCCCCCTACATTGTTCCAGTTGAATCAACAGGATTTCTATTGGGATGCCATAGGGAGGGCAATAATACATGGGGGAAAAACAACTCCATGGTCAATATATATAATTATGCCATATGGGATAAAATCTTATATCCACTCTGGAAGTGTTTGCATATGATTTGAAAGTAACTTTTAAATGTTAGTGTGGTTGTGACACCAATACAACACAGAGAAGGATGTCAAAGAATGTCAACTTGTACAAAACGACTCCAGTCTGGTAACTCAGCACTTTAAGACAGATAGCTTTTTTGTAAACCGTTGCGAAATATAATATTGTTGAATTAATGGGTTTCCTACATACGATACAGTGTTAGAATGTAAATAGAACTGTGAAATGTGCAAAATGGCTAAGTAACAAGTGTGTATTTTGCATTTTGGGCAGGAAATATAAGCGATTTACTATTTTTACCGTGAAAAATGTATATGCAGTACAAGTTAAAAGTGGATGGTGTCTGTAGGAACCATTATAAGCTGTAACAATGTTTTTATCACACCTTGCACACATTTTGTACTGTCAAAACACACACACACGCACAGTGCACAATGATTGTGTACTCTTGTGCATCACTTTTCACTACACACACACGTAAACTGTACTGGGATTGTAAATGTTCTCGATTTGCTCTCCAACACACCGGTGTGCTGTACTAGTAACGAATTGGCATGTTCTGTTTACGTGACAAATCTTACTAATTGGCTGTGTCGGGTGGTGGCGAGTTTAACGACACATTTATATATTTACACGATCTAACCCAAAAAAATCTCATTATGGACATAAACTGTAGTTAGAGTGAGTCCATGACCAAATACAGCATTCGCACTTCTACATATCGACATAAACATTTAAACCTTAACCATATCCTGTTTTTATTTTTAGGCCTTATTACTCTCACATGCAACACCATTTTTCGACTAGTATCACATCAATCGACTTGGAAGTACCGGATCAACCACTAAAAGAAGCTGGCCATGTCGCTACACAAACCTCCACATCTGAACAGGGTACATTTCATAATTGATACGCAGGTAATTTTTAACTTCGCATCGCTATGGATGGTGACTGCTGCTTTCACGATTAAGACAACGTTGACCTATGATAGTGACAAAGAATGTTTAAGATGTAGTTGGACATCATATTCGTTCAAAATTTTATTCCAGCATTAGGTTATTCTGTCACTTAACCCTAAATGAGGATGCCTGTTTTGCTACAGAGCATGTTGGGCCTCTCATGGCGATAAAAGGCTGAGCTTGGTTCGGGCAAAAGTTGTGGTTTGTTTTCAGCTGCTCATTCAACATTTAAAGCCATTTCAAGCCATCTTGATTATCAACCCAGCTTTGGCTTATTTTAAACCTTACCTTATTGGAATTGTCTTACTGCAATAATATATCTCGGGGCACGTAATAAAAAGCCACGGTGGCATTGATGCTAACAGTGGATAGGTTTGAACTGGAAAGATACATAATGTGACTTTTTAGTTCAACCTGCACTGTGTAACTCCTCTGTCACCTCACCTTTCATAATGCTTTTGAGAGCCACCCTTTCTGGAGTAATGAACGTCACTTGTCATTATTGCATGCCCTCTACCGTTCAATCATGATTCGTATCAACATTGTAAAAAAAACGAGAAGCACAATAATGGTGGAAGTTAATCTTAATTAAGAGAGTGGTGTGATAGCACAGTGACTCTGCGCACTTCGCTACGGAGCCAGCTACTTAAGTTCAATTCCCAGCCATGGTTAATATCAATGGTGGGTAACATCTGAACTGGTCCAGGCTCACCCCCCCCCTCACCAATCTGGAATGACTAGCGTGGTAAAGTATGGTCAAGCAACACCTGTGACCGACATGGCATGGGAAGGTCTTCATTGTGAAGTGGAATAACACTGCACTGTCATTAATTTTAATCGTAAGAATATCATTGTTTTTTTTGCACGTACATTGACGATATCAGGGATTGTTTCGCAATCAGGGATTGTTTCACTATCAGAAAATGCACTTTACATTAAAAATATGTTATCAAGCCCTCTGAGTGTCAGATACCTGCGAAAACCCGGTTTGATTTTTGTTAAGTATGAGTAACAAATAACAAAAAACATGTAAAATGCATTTTGAATTTCTACCATTTAAATGCAGTTGTCATCCATCCAAAGACAAAAGGCACATCATGAGCAAGAGTTGCATCCTCTATATTGTGGCAGTGGTTTGCAAAGAATTCAGTTTGTCCGATTGATTCCATTGTGCGCTCAACCATATATGCGATGGTTTAAAACTGACATCTGTTATGATATTTTTGGACAGCTCTTTTACAGGATTTAAACCTACAATATTTTATACATTTTAAGGCAACTAATCCTTGGAAAAATGACGAACATTAATGCGCATTTAGATGGCCTTAATTTTTTTTCAAGCATCAACATTTGACATTCTCCAGGTGGCCTGGCAATTACCGTTGCTAAATGATTATAATGGAGCCACTTGGATATTAACCAGCAGTGACAAGTGGAGTTGTGTAATTGCCATATGCCAAGTATTATTTATCATGCAAGCACATTTCATGGACAATGCTATTCCCTTTGGTCAACTATGTAACTGCATTGTCATGGTTAGTTTTTCATAGAAAAGAACTGGATTTCTGGCTGTGAAGAATCATTTTTTTTGCATCAATAATTGTTGTGCAGTTATATTGGACGAGACTATTTTGTTGTTTTTGACGGAAGTACTTTATATTAATTTCATTAAAATTGTGATTGTTTTACCACATGGATACGCCGTGACAATTTATAGACAGGTATTTAGGTTCACAATCCTGTGCTTTTATTTCAAGATATAAATTCAACCGAATGCAATGTCTAAGACTGGTACCATGCAAGTGTTATCTGATTTAAAACAATCGAAAATCCTAATATCATTAACCCATCAGTTACATCACAATTCATATATTTTTGTATCCCTGCTATCGGAGGGCTCCAGTTATGAAACAGTTGTTCGGCCGCTGCTGCTAACACTCATAAAGAGAGCAGTCTGAAGATACGTCTAAACTCAGATTAACTGCTTGCCCTGTCTCACCGTTCCCCAGCCAGCCTGCCTGCCAGCCGGACCCGGCACTGAAGCCATGACAGAGTTGCATAATTGGTGTCGTTGAAATTCCGGGCATGGCTTTGCGAGCTGGCGCGCGTTGCACAGGCGGAGCGAGTCGCCTGAACTTGAGGTTGAATGGGCCGCCTTCAGCCCGGGTGACTGCTAAGAACAGTAACATTGGAGCAGCACCTGCTGTCTTTGTCTCATCGCCGGCTGTCTGTTGAGTGCAGACACTGTCCAACAAATCCCTAATTTCGATCGCATGTATTATCCCCCCAATGAATAGTGAAGGACATACTGGCACATTTATGCCTAACATAAATTTTTTGTTGTTACAATAATGAAATATATTGCAATAATATATTGAAGTAATGAAATGCACATGGACCTTCATATTCCTTTAACAAAACAACAATTGCCATGTGTATAGTGCGTAACATTGACATTCGCAAAGTGCGCAAAATAATTAAAGCAATAACCTTGCACAATAGCATCGAACCCTGTAGGTTTTTGTCGTTACATAGTATTTTTTATTGTAATAAGAAAAAAAGCTAAAAGTGATTGAGAACTCTACTGTTTGATTTACTTAAATCATAGCTGCACTTGCAATCTGTCTAATTGTGCATCCTCTGTCCACAAACCAGAGAGGAAGTGTACAGATGATTAGGCTTCTTCCTCTTGGCTTTTGCTGTACCCTGATGTATATTTTAAGATTTTGATCACCTTAGTGCAGTGCTGTGCTGCATCGCATTCCACGCTGCTTTTGAATGGGTACAATTGTTGGTCACGTTTATTGCTCGGATATCTCCAAACATATCATGGTATCACATAATTGACCAACGTAACGAATATTTTTTGGGGAAACAATGAGAAAAAAATGTTACATTGTTTTGGTGCACATCTGTTTGTATGTATGAGCGCGAAGCTTAGTGTAGCGGCGAGCGGTCGTGTACTGGTTAGCACACTGTGTTCCGAACCCGGCAATCTGCGTTCAATTCCCGTTCGCGGCCAACACCGATGACGAATATGCTAAGCAGTTCTGGGCCTCACCTAGGTCAATACAGCCTTCAATGTGTAAACATTGACACGTGGGGCGACAAAGGCGGCCGGGC